TTTCTATTGTGACTGCAGAGTATTATTAATCATTATTCCCAGTAACATGATGCACTATAGAACCAAACTGAAAATTATCAATATTATCGCAGATATGTGTTTTCTTATCGATTGTTAGTGCTTTTAATTAATTTTTCTCAAAAGTAAAATCTTTTTTGTAGACATTCCAATTAGTAGTTTGGCGGAGATAGTTCCAACTTTCACTTTTCATTAATATCCAATTTTCAAGTCCGTAAGTTTAGAAATCAAGGTTTGCAACCTATGCACTTGATTCATATCACACATAAAAGTATTCAAACCATATTCAAATTACATAATAATTAAGAAACTATCTATTCCTTGCTTCTCCATATGGTATTTATAATCATGTGCATTGCAAATCACTTTTGATTAATTAGATATGAATATCATAAAGATTGTCTGAAAAAAAAATGATGTATTGAGGGTCTTCCCTCTCAAAAGTGCTCTTCTATTTCTTTTGAGCCACCTCCTTTTCAGAATTTATTTTTGTTGGTGGACGATGGTTTAACATATTAAGATTTAGAATGTAAGAGAAATATAATGCATTCAATAGAAGCATCATCTTATCCTTCTTGTGGAGAAAGCTTTTTTTTTACTAAATCTATCTACTTTACAATGACTGATCATTTTTAAAACGTTCATTGAACTTGTCTCCATTAGGAATATATCTTAAAATGTTTGAAAAGTTGAGCTTTGTGTATCATGTATTTATATAGGATTTTGTTGTTGAATCTATTTTATCTTTAGAAGATTGAAACTAATATGTCTTGTGAGTTGATTTTTATTTTCCTTACATCTGAGTAACAGCTTTGTTGTTGATACATAGTAGAACTGTCAGCTAATTATGAGTTTATGCATTCTTGGTTTTTAGGATTATTTTGTACTCTATTGCATTGGCTGTAGCTTACTTAATTTTTATTTTCGTTTTATGCAACTTTTTGATTTTGAGGCTTATACCTCGACTCATGAACAAAGAACATCTCAATGCCTTGTGCAATTTTAAACCTTTCTATTTGGTATCTTCATATTAGTTTTCTTTATTTTTTGGTTATCCAATTGAAAAACATATTTTATACTACCTCATTCTACCAGTTAATGATACATATCATTGTTGAATCAATTGAGTGGATTACCTTTCCCATGAGCGTTATGTACATAATATCCAAGTCAACCTTTAGTTAATTTCAAAAGTTAAATATGATGTTAATTCCTTGAGTCTTTCTGTCAACATCTCTCATTTTTGTTGCCTCAACTTCATTAACAATATCAATTATATGGGGATTGAGAGTTTGGATTGGGTTAATAGAAATCAAGGACCAATCATTTTTTTGTGGATGGCTTTGGAGTGAACTTAGTTTTAGCAATTGAATTAATTTAATAAAGCAGCTTCTTTAATTGTGAATTATTTTACTTGCTGTGGTTATCATCAACCTTATACCAAGTGCATTCTTCGTTTTTTAGGAGCACCCTCCATGTTAATGCTACCTTACTTTCTTGGAAAGTTATTTTTTGCCCTTTAAGTAACAAAACTCCACTTGATACAGAAATTATCTTCCAAAGGTTTCAATTCCTCAACTTTCAAATAATATCTCCCACGACAAATCAAATTGTTTGCTTTCATCTTCATCGTTCATACCCTATCTCATTTACCTATGATGGATTTGGGGCCATATCTCCATTGTATAGATAGAGATAAAACATGCTCATGGTATGATGGAATAAGTGTGTTACTGAAGATTTAACATCCTTAAGATAAATTTGCTTACTATTCACCAACTGAACTTTCGATATGAGTCAATATATTGTAGACTAAATGTATTTAATGTTTGCTTACCTGTTTAATAAGATAGCTAAAGCATTATTTACTTGGTTCATTTCATATTTGTTTGTATTTTATCCGTATGTATCCTTGCTTATCCTTAGAATGATGGCAGGTTGCCCAATTCGGTTGGGGCATTTATCTATCC